CCACTCACTTCAAAGTCTGACATGTTTTAAGTTCAGAAGTGCTATTCCTGCAAAACGTGTTTCTAACGAGTGGTTAATTGAATTGCTGCTACCTCATCGAGAACTGTCGCTCACTGGATATTTTCTGTTTTTCAGAGCATTCTCTGTAAGCTGGGAAAAGTTTCTGAAATACTAAGACCAGCCGGTATGGCACAAACAATCACATTCAAAGCCACTTAAATGGCCTTTTTCCCTAATTCGGTTTCTCAATATGAACTTCAGCAGGTCATTTTGACCATGTCTACATGCCTTAATGCACTGAGTTAGATAATTGTGTTAACGAGCAGCTGAACACGTGTACCTAACATTGTGGCTGGTGTTTACATTCAGTCTAACAAAACACTTCTCATAGTAAGAAATGCAACTTGTCTTTTATAATACTTGGCAGACCATTTTCCTCTAGATCAACAGTAGATATCCCTCTACAGCTCTTACCAGGTTATAAACTTGATGATGCCAACCACTAGGCACAAAAATGATTTCTCCTGCCTCCTGAATGATTTCAAGAGGTTGGCAGGCTTCTTCAGCGTGTGGAAAAAGGCTTCTGTCTCGAAGTTCAGCTGACGTAACATCATAAGGGAGGTTGCCGTGAGTGTCTCGTAAAAACTCCTCCTGACCTGGAGGATACAGGAGCCACTTCTTCCTGCCACAGATGTTTGCAGACCAACTGTATGAACGGAACACATCAGAGTGGAATGGTGTCCTGGTAACAAGGAAGTGCACTGGGTCAGATCATGAAACATTTTATATAAGCTTATGTTTTTTTGAAATAATGTTTTCATACCATGACCCTTTAGGTCCCATGTAGACAAATCGGTAGTCATCCACTTCGAGGGTGTCCCAGTATTCATTGAGCCAGTCAGAAGTAAAGAACACTGGTGTGGTGTAAACATTATGTTCTGGAAAGTCCCTGTGGAGAAATTTACAAAGGATAGTTACACATTTTTCATACAATGGTGTAAACATTTTTCTTTGGATGAATATTACTGTGATACCTTGACATGTGCCAGTCTTTAAGATAGAGGCATCCTTTGGGTGATGAGTGTCCATTCAAGATGTATTCCCTCCAGTAGTGTATAAATTCTTTAAAAGGCATGACTTGTTTGGGGTTGGCATTGTACTCCTTCGCATTGCAGTTTGCAACAGGGACTGGAGACTCATCTGTGATTGAAACAGTAACAGTTATTAAGAATTATTACAGATTATCTTTGCAGACATTTACACAGTAATGCATGTTTGTTTTACCAAACTCTTGCAGCAATTTCTGGAAATTAGGTTTCCCATCCTCAGTCACCCACTGTTTCCTACACTTCCACTCCTCTGTGAATCTCCTTGAAAACATACAAGGGTGATTGGGGAGCAGATACTTCTTGAAAAACTTGGAATAGCTAAGCTCCTTGTCAATGTAATCTACAAAATGCGAAGACCAAAACTGTTCATATGACTGCCTTGGTATTTTGACCAGGCTGCTGCAGTTACGGTACGCCTCCCTGTCCATGATGGTAAACAAGCCCTCGGCTAGCTATTTAGCAAGCTCAGCTGTCAGGGTTTGGACAGCGGGGGAACTGTGAGGGGAAAAGCTAACTGGAAGATTAACTCGCCATTACACCGCGTATGTATTCTCACGTTTCTGCCACATTTGAAAATCTGGTTAAGCTAGAAAAAGATACTAAACTAAGAAAAACGCAATTTTCCACTATCACAAGCAGCTACACATTAGCGCATGTTGGGACTCCTGAACGACGCGCATATAAAACCGTTGCTATTTATATTTTGTCACGATACATACATATATATATTTAATACATTTATATTAACGTTATGTTTTTCGTATCGCTTGGAAAGCGCCGAAACCGCCGCCGCTGTCATTATTTTTCGCCACACATTTTCGCAATAGTGCTTCTTTTTTTTTGACAGCAAGTTTTTTTTTTTTCCCCAAGTCGGACGGTAAATACGGCCGTGCTCGAGCGTGACGTCACTTCCGCAACAAACAGCCGAGTTACTGAGAGGACTACGAGGTAACGTAATGCCCAGCCCGGTGTTGACGATTAATGTGGTGTGGGTTTAATTGCACCGAGAGGATATAAAACACGTTAAAAGGGTTATAACATTATAATGACGCACGCGTAATGCGGTCAGCTGGCTAGAGAGCTGAAGCTGCCAGTGTGAACGCCTCGACTGAGCTCATCTTGCTGTCTGGATTACACTCAAAAGAAAGTATGTTCTTCATCACGACTCGTAGATCACTCAGTACAAAGTGCTTCTGATGTAATTTCATCTTAACCTGCAGCAGTACCTGTGTGTATGTTGTTGTCATGTTAAACTGATACCTATTTGTCCCCCTGACAGGTGAACCTGTCTTATCTCCTTCCATCACAATGAGCCGGGACGTTCCCATCCACAGCTGGCCAGGCTCCTATTACATCAACAGTGAGAAACGGTGGGAAAACGGAACCCTCTCTCTCACCAGAACCACGGTGTGCTTCGTCTCCAACCAGAGCAAGGAGAGTCTTGCCAGCTTCCGTCTCTCGAGGATTGTGGAGATCAAGATGGAGTCATCTAGTTTCATCTTCAGCACTCTCACAGTACTTGAAGAAGGCAACGTGAAACATTGGTTTGGTTCCCTTAAGCCCAACAGGGTGGTGGTTTATAATGTGTTAGAGCATTTCTGGAGAGAGCGGCTTCTCTCTCCCAGCTCAGAAGCCCAGCGGGCTGAGGCTCAGCCTTCGAAGGGAAGAGAGCTGATCAGCCTGGTGGCAGGGGCCCAGAAAAGATTGGAGGACACTGGCAGAGTCCTCGGCCATCAGGGAGAGCAGTTTGACAATATGATGCAGGGCCTGGAGAAGATTGACTCTGACTTGGGCGTGGCTGACAAGTAACTATCTTAAGATATTTTTAGTTATTGAAGTTTTGCACATGTCTTGTTTATATTGCTTGGCTAACTATAACAAGGCCTAATTTATGACTAACATCAGTTCCTCCTGCCTCTGTATTACAGGCTTCTGTCAGAACTGGAGTCTCCTTCCTGGTGGCCTTTTGGTAAACTCCCCTGGAAGACCCAGCAGGATGCAAAGGCCGATGATGCTGCGAGAGCTGCAGCTGCTGTTTCTTCTTCAGCAGCCAGGGGCTCCAGCAGAAATAAGTTAATCACAAGCATCCCAGCAGTGCTGTCCAAAGGTGGAGAATCGGACTTGAAGCCTGGATGTTTGTCGGTGCTAGTGTCCTCGCTGGAGGTGCGAAACACAAACTGCCAGCTCCTTCACAGATTTGAGCGAAATGAAATTGATGAAATCAGGGTGCACAGCCCCTATGAGATTACAGTCAGGCAGCGTTTCATCGGGAAGCCAGACATATGTTACAGGCTCCTGTCCGCCAAGATGCCAGAGGCTTTGTCCGTGTTAGAGATGCAGTACAAAAAGAAGATAGAGTTCACAAGCGAATACACAGATTTTAAGACAACTCCAGTTTCATCGCCACGTGACACAGAAGGGAAAAGCTGGACTGAAGGTAAGGAACACATCAAAAGATAAATAAAGACACTCTTATTCCACAGTGGTTTCCATGCCTAGTATAGATTTGACCACTAAGTGGCAGTAAAGGTCTGCGTTTCCACCTCTGTGTATTTATAAGTGTGCAGCCACATGTAAAAACATTTCATCATGGTTATTGGTGTCTCCTTGACAGAAATGTATTTTGATGAGTCACTTCACCCTGATTGCCTCAGTTGCTGTACTCTGAGTTTACTGTCTGGTTTCCTCATAAACAACATATGTACTCTGCACTTTTTCACCATCTCCACCCATGGAGTCAGGTTTACTGCAGACGTGCCAAGAGACAGAGCTCCCACTGGAGGTCCCCGCTGGAGAGCTGTCCCAGTTGCAGGTGCATGTCTTCCAGCCATCTGTCAGTCAGGCTGAGGCCCAGGAACTCAAACAGGTGAGAAAAGCTGGACTCCCAAATTTATGACTACACTACCGTGGCCTTAAAATGTTTCATATTTGTATTCACAAGACAAGTAACACAAATGAAAAGCCGTGTGTGCTCCGGGAACAGATTGATTCAAATAGGGGTAGCTGCTATTGTAAATAATCCCAGAGTCTCAGCAACACGTATTTTGATGTTTCCAGTCCAAACCACAATTCACCATAATGATTTTTTTTTATTTTTCATCCTGTATGTTTAAAATGTTATTTGGTGAGACCACAAACCAATGTCCATCCTGGTTTTAAGAGAGGAAAAAAAACACGGTTAGTTATTTGGTCAGAACCTACAATGTCTTTCCATTCAGAACCTCACAGCGCTGAATGCTGTTACAGACACGGTCTGTGGTGGCAAGACCTACACAGTGACGCAAATTCAGACCCGTGATTCGGGCAAGTTTTTTTAAAATTTTTTTTATAATGTGTGTGTGAATCGCTATTACAGGTTGCTTAGACTAGGATTTTTCATGTAAAACTTTCAGAAAGTTGCTCTTTGTTTTATCATATAATGTTTAAATGATCAAAGTTAATGAGTGACTTCAGTCTACAAGGCTCTACTATATGTAAAGGAAAAAAACTATATTAACATTTACAAGTGAGAAGAAACTAAGCAAATACAATTAATAATGGTGCAAATGTGCCAGTATTGAAATATGTAGCAGACAAAGATGGCTTTGCATTACATATTAACACATAAACATATTAACTCAAATCAAAAACCAAAGCAACAACATACAAATGTCTTGTCAACAACAGCAGTGACACCATAGACAAATACTTTGTTGGGGTTAACAAATAGCTTCATGCTGTAGCTCAGGAGGTAGAGTAGGTCATCTACTAATCTAAAGGTTGGCTGTTTGGTCACTTTGTCAAAGTATCTTTGGGCAAGACCCTAAGTTGCTCTCAGATGCATTTATTGGAGTGTGAATTTTATAGATAGAGGGATAGAAAAAAGTGCTTATATGAATGTGTTTGAATGGGTGAATGAGGCAAGTTGTATAAAGCGCTTTGAGTGCTCCAGTAGAGGAAAGCAACACTATATAAGAACCAGTCCATTTAAGATTTACTTGCAGCCTTATAGTAGTATATAAAATAATATCTCTGAGGACCTAACAACATTCCTGGCAAGAACTAATATACACAGGGAAAACCTGCAACCTCCACACAGAAAGGCCCCAGCGAGCCAGTGGAATGAAACCCAGGAATTTCTTACTGTGAGGCAACAGTGCTAACCACTGCTCTGCATGTTCGGTCAATCGGTGATTCTTAAATGTACGTAGAGGTGAATATGAGCGTGAACGGTTGTCTCGCTCTGCAGTAAACTGCCGACCTGACCTCTCACCCAATGACAGATAGGCTCCAGCCCCCTCCCCTGCCTCCAACCTTCTTCATGATAAGCAGAAGAAGATTGATGGATGGATAATAATATAAAAAAGAAACAAGCACACCATAGCAATAACAGCACCAGGCCAATCACTGGCTAGCCTATTGTGTTTTAAATGGCATGTTATCTGCGGCTGATAATGGGTTACATTTCAAAGCGTGCCAGTTTTGCCTTAATGCTATGCTTTTGTACACACCCTGCTCTTACTGTAATCCATGTCAAGATTAGAATCACTGTGGGCCAACTGGTACTGATAACTTGTACTCAGTTTCATGTCCTGCCCTAAGTGCTGTGCCAAATAGTCTTTTTGGTGTCAGCATTTGTATGTTTTATTATTGTTTGTGGTTGGAAATTCCCACTTGCTAAAAATATGCTGTAAGAATATGAAATTGAGTGTGCTGCTAATGCACAGTCCCAAAGTTACCGCACCTAATACACGAGACACTCAGACTTTTTTTGCTAATATATTTTTTCTTTTAGCTCTAGCCTAAATGTTTGATTTGAAGGGTTTCTACATGACTTAAGTCCCCTAGCCATTATATAAACAGCGGCGAGAAGTGTTCATTTTTACTGTTTTTCTATGACACACCGAAGCTCTTGTGAATGTTAACTGCAAGGTGTGATTCAGTCATGTCCTCTCAGTTAAAATTGTAAAGTCACAGACCTGAGTGAATGAATATCGTTGTTCCTTGGTGTGTATTGACATATTATCTGTTTTTCAAACTGCTAACTCGAGCTGTTTTTGTGCTCAGCTGAAATGTCCACATAAACCAGCCAGAGAACATAATGACATAATGTCAGTGGAGTGTGAGCGTCTGTGTGTGTCTGTGTGTGTGCGTGTGCGTGTGTGAGGCAGATCATGTAGCTGTGTGTGTGTGTGTGAGGCAGATCATGTAGCATAAAATACTACCAGTTAAGTAACCATAGTGGTAGGGTTTGAGGTGAGTGTTTATTAGGCTTTGCTTGGCACATCACAATATATTAAAACTGTTCCAGCAACTACAGCATATGTAGTTGCTGGATCATGGTCATGTAGTTGTGATATCCCTTAAACTCACTGAAAGTAAGGGGAAAAAACCCAGTATGATATCACCGATCCCAAGAATCAAGCCAAGACTTCCCCCTCTGTGTATCATCAAGTTTCATCTGCAAAATGAATAACAGCTATTATTGTGGTGAATTCCATTGTTCATTTCTGATCAGCGCACAATTAACAGCAAGTCTTTCTAATGCTTAAATCAGATGGTTTAAGCATTAGAAAGGACCAATGTCTATGTCTCTCCATATGTGGTTCACCCTGGTCCACCACTGTGGTGTTGTTTTAATGTGCCGTACTTCTTATTAACACAAAACGTTGTGTCTTTTTATTGTGCTGTGGTGTGTGGGTGTGCTTGCAGATGCTTATGCAGCTAAAGAACCTTGCCTTGGAGGCCGAAACTGAGCTGGAACGCCAGGATGAAGCCCTGGATGTCCTGACGAGCTCCACAGACCGGACCACCATGCACATAGAGAAGCACACCTGTCGCATGAAAAGACTGCTGTAGTCCTGACGCTTAAGGAGATGCACATAGGCTCAGTGTCCTGAGAAAAACACCGTAAACCTTCTTACTGTTCACATGCAGTTTGAGAACCATGAAAAACGCACATCAACAAGGACTTGTGTGTAGTCTCAAAATTAATTTAGTTGCATTTGATGGCCACTAATTCTTGGGAAGTACAGCAATGGCCACTTAAAACAAGACCTCTTTAAAGTTTTCACTTTGGTATTAAAAAGAACACAATTGTTTGTTTTAGAGAAAGTAGATAACATGTGGCCGTGCACATTTCTACATGAGAAAACTTGAACTTTTTGCTAAATTGCATCGTATCAATTCTAAATTTGCCCTTCTCAGTTGGAAATGGTCAAAACATTCAATTGGCCATAGCACGAGTAAATGCTCTCCCTGTGAATGCATATTTTTCAGCTGTGGCCTTTGCATTTGGCTTTAATTCTCTCAGCTGCACAACATTTTGAAAGGCAGATGTCCTCTGAATACTGGCAAACAGGTGTTAGTATATAAGCCTAATCGGCACATGACAGAAAAAAAATGTAGCCAGTTAACCCCAATTTAAAATATTACCAGTGGGAACCCAATGATGGAGCACATAGATTTTAATGCCCCAGTGATTTATACCAATCAGTCGTGTCACCTGAGTGGGAGGTGGCAGGAATCTCAAGTGCACGTCGTGCAGGTGAAAAACAAGCAGATGATTTCATATTTTCAGGGTAGACAGGCAGCAGTGTACACCCTCCACATCTGCAGTACAGAACAAGACATCCCGAAATGAAAAGAGAATATATTGTACATTAATTCTGCAGTAACTCATTTAAAACAAGCTGCATGTCGGGTCTCTCTTTGATAATCGACTGCCATTATTTCCTTTTATAACCGTCTCTGTCTTTCTCAGGTTCTGTGTATCACGTATCCCTTTTAGTGTTGCATGTCCCAATAATGCTGCTTTGTATAACATTGAGGGAAAATCTTCCATCAATATCAATATATTGCTGAAAAATGTAAATTTGCAACAAGTTCTTGGACCTTTAAACAGAAAACACTACCGATCCACATCTACTGTATATACCTCGATTCTCCTCTAAGCCTGTATTATCTGTAAATGATACATACAATGTAATTCTGTAATGTTATAACAGTCTGTTGTCGCTGTGAATGTGTAATTAGATACTAGGTTAATTTAAATATATGTCTAGTTTAAAAATCTTATCAATGTTTACTTTTTCCTGTGATAATTACCGTGACAACGAATGAAACTAAACCGCTCATTCTAAATACAAGGGAAGACCGTCTGCACTATACTACCATTATAAGCAATGAATGAATTCCTTTCACCATTCAAGGTCTGGAAAGCATATAATGTAAATAAAACTGAAGTTAAACAAGTAGTTTGTTTGTTCTTTTTTGAAAGTGCTGCTTACAGTTGCCATAATCTGTGTCATTGTGCTTGTCAAAGGTGTGTGCTTCAATGATACGATCACACACTGCAGTCTCCCTTTGCAGGCCTCTTAGCGTCTTTGAGTCTTTTGTTTTGGTTCACCCTCAGTACTTTTGTCAGCAGTGCAGGGTGACATTACTTCGACAAGCAGCTTGTTACAGCATGTTCTTGTTACACTCATTACCTCAAATAACACCCCCTTGAACTAAGTGTAATGTATACTGTCCAGACTAAGATGTGTACTGTATATTATTCCGTTCATTGTTTAACGAGTCTGGTTTCATTTTTATCATTTTTCTCCACCACACAACCACCAACATGCTTGTTAGTTGCATTTGGGGTGACAGCATTAGCTATAGTGCTGTGCAAATGTCTTGGGTTACCCTCTTTTTTTTAGGGAAATAGGAACTGAAGACTGGCTGCCTTTTGTTCCATTCACTCCCAAGACGATCTCACACTGCTTCAATGATGTTGATGTCCAAGCTCTGGGGAGTATTAGGGCCACGTTTAAATATATATATATATATATATATATATATATATATATATATATATATATATATATATATATATATATATATATTATATATACTGATCAGTTGTCTTGTGATACAACATACATCCTCTTAATTGCATTAGGATGTAGCCATTGATAACCTTGCATCTCTCCATTAAAAGCCATTTCCTTTTGTGCAAATCCACTCTCCCGCATTTGTCTGTTAAACTAATCACCACACTGTGTTTATGCACAAAAAGAGAAATCATGTCCTTCCCATTCTGAAGTACACGTTCGCTACTTCACAGGGTGTTGCAGCTGTGGTAGTGTGTCTTTAAACAACAACTTTAATCTCCACATCTCTTACTGCATTGGCAGTGTGTATGAGATCATTGTTGTGCTGAAAATTTTAAACTGTTGCCCATCAGATTTTTCCAGATGGCATAGCATGGTTGATGATGGTACTTTCCTGCCTTCACAATTCCATCAATACTGACAAGATCTACAACACCACTGGCTAAAAGGCCCCAGACCATGGCAGAACCTCCACCGTGTTTAACAAATGGCTGTAGACACGCGCTGTTGTACCTCTCCCCCGACCTACTTCATACATACTTGCAATGTTGTGAACCATCTGGAGCCTATCTCAGCTGTCACAGGGTGAGTAGCAGGCTACGCCTGCATAGGTTACTAATCTGTCACAGTGAGACAGATAACTTCTGATGAGACTCACAGAAATGAAATGACCTGACACAGTCCTGTGTTAGGTCATTTTTCCATTTGTATTTTTTGCTATTTCTTAAAGACGTAACTTTCAGATACTGTTCATCTACTGTAGATGGGTTTTAGTCTTGTCACTTCTTCTTTTTAACTCCGCTTGTCCAGTTTCCTCAGATTTTTTAAGGATACCCTGCACACCATGCAAGATATTACAAAAATTTCAGCAACAACAAATGAACTAAGGGAATGTTTTTTCAATAGGCTGCAAGTTATAAACAGTCTAAATATACACTTTAGAAATGATTCATAAATAGGTTTTCTGTTATATGCAAACACAACTATAAAAACCCTGCTTTTTATGCTTGAATCATTCATAGGTCAGTATTAAGTGCCATAACAAACAAAAAATGGGACAATTTTAAGTACAAATGAGTGAAAAAGCAGCCAATGTCCAAAGAAAAATATTGAAATACCTTCAGAAAACCTGGAGAACTATTGCTTAAGAAAATCTTGCATGGAAAATGTAAAGAAATGATGGATGATTCAACACTATTACTCAACACTGTATCAGCTAACCATTGTGTGTTTTTTTGGAGCTTGTGAATACTTCTTTATCTCTCATCTTGCTTTGTGACCATAATATACTCACTCAGCTGTTGCTAGTTATAGAAAAAAAACCTCTAATGAAATCACCATTTTTTTTGCAACAGCTCCCATAGAAAAACAGTGATAAAAAATAAATGACAAACAAAGTAATGCTAAATCTGCTATAAAAACATCACTTCACCAACGCATTAATCATATCTAATTTACCAACGTATATGTCATTCTTTCTAGCTAAAATGTTACATTGGAGCCTACTGATGATGGGAAATGGCAAACCCCTGAAAATGTAGTTTTTCAGGGTGTTTTGCTCCATGATACACATGAACTATATTCATCACAATTTGCATCTCTTCTAAAAAGTGTTCCCCTATATAGCGTCTAGAGAGAAAATGACCATTAAAGAAAGAGATACGACTGACTTTTTTAGATGAAAAAATAGGATTACTATTTGTGGGACTTGTGAAATGGGCCAGTGAAATGAGTTTTAACCAGGCTTTAGGTCTTAACAGAAAGTAATTGGGAAACGCCCCTCACAGTCAGCTCACATGTGACAAACTGTAACAGAAGACTTGAAAACAGTTCATTATGGTATCCGTCGCTGTGCATGCTGTTGTGAGGAAGTCGCTCACTTTATTCCCTCTAATATTATAACATCCTGTTGGCACCGGGGCTGTTGGCATTGGTTTGACCACCCCAGCTGGACTGCTTTTACCAGAAGGGGGGACTACTTCATGTCAACAGGAGACCACATTTGATTTGGCAAGTGTCTGAGTAATTAATTATGAATCAGGAAGAAGTCTTTCATAAAGAGGTTTGAAAGACTGGCAGCCTCATTCAACAGTTTGGTCCCGGTTAGCATGAACTTATCACTTCTATTAAACAGAGCCCACCAGGAAAGATGTGACACTCAAAACTAAACAAAAAAAGGAAGGCCTCAGTGAGATGTTATGCTTTCTTCTGCACAAGTGAGAATGTTTTTACTGTGGGTCATTTTTTGGTTGATTTCTGTGATAAACAGAGTTTTGAAAGTCCCAAACTCCAGAAGCATACCACATGGTTATGTGAATTCCAATCCTTAAAAAAGGTTAGGGGAAATAGAACACACACTGGCGTGGTTTTCAAGCAGCCTTGCAATACGAGGAAGTGGTGGCGGTCTTGTCTGACCACAGATACACGAGATCCGGCTTTACTTTCCCAATGGATGGTATGAAGACACAAGGGATTTTGCTGGCCTTGACTTCCAAGTCTGTTTACTTGATAGTTCTGTGGTGAGCACTTTCATTCAAGGAGCGTGTCTGCACTGATGGCCAATCAATCAACTCCTGCAGGGGAAAAAAAACAGCCAAAGTTTGTGGGCTACAAAGGGCACAAGTTGGTTGCACTGCACTCCAAAATATGGAGTCATGTGACTGCAAGAGAAAAGGGTGTATTCATCATCCCAGAAAAAAACATCCAGCTCTTCAGTGTTTTATATTTATGTTAAAGTTGAAGCACTTTTCTTTGTGTTGCTTGGCAATGTGTAAATGATGCAGCAATTATAGTTTGAAATTAATGTGTTTTTATATAAACGTGTTTTAGTATTACACATCTATTTTCATGAGGAATTGTTGACGAGGAGCAGATCTACTATACATAAATAAAATATTAGAGAAATTTCACTTCCACTGCACTATTAGACCATGTCTGAGTCTAATGGCCTGATTTTTGACTCACGTCCTGGACAGCCTGTTTCTAGTGCAGGTGTTGCTGGGTTTCCTTTTGCTGAGGGAGTTTCTGGTTACAGGAAATAAGGCCCGTTGGTTAATGTTAGAACTGGGAGAAAACATTCCTGTAGGGAAGGTGCTTGAGTCCAACTAGGCGGTGTGTATGTAGTCTCAAACAGAAAACAAGATGACACCAAACATTCTCTTCTTGTTTGTGCGTGTCAGTTTGATAACCTTGCCTCTTTTGCTTAGGTCAGATACAAACATTTTTTGCAGGGATGAGGTAACCTGTAAATTTAAATTTGAGTTTTATTTATTTATTTTTTTATTAAAAATATGAATACACAATGTTTATGAAGCTGCTTTTTGGAAATGTTCTTTCTTTCAGTTTAGTACAATCATAAATGTGCTTTGGTAATGCGGTACTTTCCCAAATGCTGAGCTGCATGATGATATCATATGCCATTGCACATCATTATGCTTTCCTTAGTACTTTGGTTTTCTGGCTTTTGTTTCACCAACCTTTCCCATTTCTGCAAGACAGAGTTAACAGCTAGTCGGCCAAACTAAA